TTAACATTTAAAAGGTTTCACTTGACTATCCATACCTATCCATTGCATTTTAGATATCTAAAATGGCATTTTGACTAGTCAAAATTAAAATTCAAGACATCTGCAATTGTATCCTGACCAGTAAGAATGACATTTAACATATCTACAATTACAGTTCGACTAGTAAGAATTCCTTATTGACATGGGGAAAATTATCTACCATTTTGCCTGTCCAATATGTGAATTCCAGATATCTATAATTACATTCTGACTCAAACTAAGATATGACTTCAGAATTCAGTTGTAGATACTGTATGTGAAACTGGAGTTCTGACCAGTTAAAATTGAAATGCAGATATCTTACATTTCAGTTTTTACTAGTTATAAATACATTGCAGATATCTTAAATGAAAATCCGGTCCACCTATTTAGTGTTAAAAGGGCTTGCAATAGATAATGATTCTTGCAGCAGCATTTTGTCTGTTTTGAAGCCGATTAATACATTTATTGGGAAAACCACAGAGGATGGGATTACAGTAGTCAGCGTGAGATGTTACAAGATCGTGAATGAGCCTTAAGTGTTGTAATATGAGGAAAAGGATGCAGTCTGGATATGCTGCATAGATGGAAGTAGGCAGTTTGTGAGATCTTGTTGAAGTGAGGGCTAAAGGAAAGTGTATTGTCCAACATCACACCAAGACTTTTTACCTGAGAGGAAATGGAAACTGCACAGTCAACAGCAGAAGGGATGCAGTTTGGAAAAGTGCCTATGAAGATGATCTTACAAGTATTTCAAATGCATGCATAGGTTAATATTTAAAATCTTTAGAGGGCGATTTTAATTACAAAGCATTTTGTACCTTATTTAATCTGTAAGTTTAGTGTGAACTTGTGGTAAAGCTTCTTATGTCCCAAGGCTTGACATGATTTTTAAATACCGCAGATGTGGGGCACTGAGAGTGGGAGTTGAAATACAGAATGTAGGCCATCTGATGTAAAATAACAAATGTCTTTAAAGTTGTTGATTGGTTTAAAACTTCTTTCTCACTGATATTTGAATTATCCCACCTTTCCTTGTCTACTCTGCAGAAAACAAATCTTTGCAATTTAGGCTAAGTTGGTAAAACTGAAATATATCCACAGCAGCAATGATCTGGCTCCCTCACAGCTGTGACTGGGTATATTGCACCTTGGAGGTCCATTGGCACACATATCCAGTAATTTCTCTGCTACCTAACATGATGAAAAATGACGCCACTCAAAGTGGTGATCTCCTAGGTTTTGTCACTGGATAGCCCTCATAAAATGATTTCTGTAGCGTACATGAATCCACGTGAAACGCTATGGTGCTTTCACATTTACAGTAGACTAACCAAAGAATAAAACAATCTGAATGAAAACCAAATAAAAAGTTCTGCATATATGTTTGTCAGTCTGTACTCAAAAACCTACAAGACATCTTAAAGTGATGATGACATTCATACTAAGAGGAGACAGTCTACCACTTGCTGAGAGTTAGTGTAGGAAGAGTTGTAAATATCTCTCGAGCCCTACACTGTGGTGGGAATATTTTTAGTCCAATCAAACTTTCAGCTGAGTTCTTAGGAGTGAGTCAGAGATGCTTATTAAATATGCTTCCTAGTCTCTAATTACATGCAAGCACATGAGTTACAGAGATGGAAAAGTTTCTCTTGGAGATGCACAGTCTAGTGCTTTTGGTTTGGTTTGTCTTGTACACTAAAATGACATTTGTGTCGGTTGGGCTTAAGTTGATAAATAAGAAATAGCTCTACAGATACAGTAATCTTAAACTTTAATTCATGAGACAAGAAATTCACTGCAAAAGTAGGGCTTGTTTAATTTGTAAAAGAAACTTAAAGCTACATGTCAACAAGTGGCAGCAATGACTCACAGTTATTGACAAACACTGATTCAGCCATTCACAGGTCTCCAAAAGGTTATGTGCACACCTCTAAGAGCCCAGACATCACTTATTTTGTCCAGTGTTACATATTCCTCAACATAATCAAGGATAAGAAAGTTAGACTGTAAGATGAGATTTTTGCCCATGATCATTTTTATGCTGTCAATTTTAGACTTGCTTATTGGAATAGTCTTCATACAAATACAACTGGTTAAATAAGTATAGATTTTTAATTGTAAGTAATACAAATCTGTGTAGGTCCTGACAATTTCGGATACCCATTCAAATTTCCCATTGAGGTATTTCTCTCTATATATTGTACACGGCCCGGTCTCACAGCAAAATGTATAATAGCTACATTGGTCCACAGCGTAAAACATAGAAATGTCACAATAACGGCTATAAAATTGAGATGAATAAGTCAAACAAACACCTGACTTTCATGCAGCAAACCGGAACTCGTCTCTGGCATTCCGTTTTAAGTATTTTGCGTTTAAAGTGTTTTAACCAACCCTGGGGCCTTTTCCTGACCTTAACCATCTAGTCTGTGTGCCTAAACCTAGCCATGTAGTGTAGTTTCAGTTGCCAAGGCATTATTAGACTGGTACATTTTCCTTTGTAGACCAAAATAGCTATTATCCATTTTGCTGTGAGACTGGGTTGCTGCACTGCAGCAGAAAAAGCAGCAAGCTCAACACTGGCAAGGCATGACTGAAAATGAGGTTTTTGAGGTCATAGCTGCTGGGCCAGAAAACCAAAACAATGAGCTGAAAGAGGCTAAAATGCTCCACAGATCTGAGGGGAACTATAGAGTGGAGTAATAACTCTTTGTAGGATTCCTACAGGCAACACAACTCATATTACATGTACATGTTGTTCATATAAAATGTTTAGTACTACATCTTTAAAGACTAAAACACATTACTTCAGATGAAGAAGCCGTAGTCCTCTGAGTGACAACTGTGGCACAGTGATAAACAAGACCCATTGATCTGACAGTATTGAGCCTGTTGATGTTAAAGCTCCATCAGCTGTAACATTGGCTCGTCTAATAATTCAATACAGATGACTTCATTTGGTTTAAAGGTTAGGGTTTCATGCGGCTTGTATTCAGACGAGAACCGAAGCAGTTAATGAAAGCTGCTGCACTGTGTGGGGAGTGTATTTCATTTACTAAGATCTGACACACCAGGAATAGTTACATCAGTCTCTATGTATTTGACAATGAAAGAAGAAATGACTGACTTCAAACATTTATTATGTTTACTCTG